TTAGGGTCACTATCTGGGGCCTCTTTTACTCTCTTCAGAAGGTCACTATAGATAGGGTCTTGAGCATACGCGTCTCTAACCATTTGCTGCAGGTCAGCCCCTATGTCTAGATAATGAATTATAGCTCCAAAGTAGCGGCTCTCCTATTTAGAGCATCCGCTACCACATTGTACTTTACTTTGATAGGTTTCAGCTCGAAGTCAAACTGATCTATCTCTGCAGCCCACCTAGTAAGCTTAGGTGTCATCTTGGCTTGCGTTTTCAGCCACTTGAGTGTCTCGTGGTCTGAATAGACTTTGAAGTGCCTCCCAAGCAAGTAGTGTCTCTAGTGATCTAATGCTTGCCTGAGAGCGTAGAGTTCTCTCTTGTAAGTTGAGGCTGCTACATTTGTTGAAGGTAACCTAGCAAACATGAACTCTACGGGTTTGTACCCATTGCCATCATCTTGCTGCAACACAACACCAATGCCATACTGACTCGCGTTTTTAGTGACGACAAAGGGTAAGGATGGATCGGCTACCTTGAGGACTGGATACTCTACCAAAGCTTGCTTTAACTTCTTCAGGGCCGAAGTGCAGTCTTGATCCCACTTCGAGATCACTTCTTTCTTAAGCAACCTGCGAAGGGGAGCAATGATAACAAAGAAGTTTCTAATTAACTTTGTGTAGTAGTTAGCCAATCCTAGAACGATCACAATTCTGTGAGCGTACAAGGAGTTGGCCAATCCCTAATCGTTGCGACCTTACTGTCCTCTGGTTTTTATACCATCACCATCTAATGTGGGGCCCAAGTACAGGATTTCGGTCTTGGCCCACTCACACTTCTTTGCATTGATCTTGAAGTTTGCCTCGTGCAACTTCTCCAAGACCTGCCTCAGATGAGCTTGATGCTCCTGGAGGGTCTTACTAACGACTAAGATATCATCTAGATACACTACTACAAACTTGTCTAACCGCGGCCTAAACAAATCGTTCATACAACGCTGAAAGGTGGCCGGTGCATTGTTAGTCCAAAAGGCATCACTATGACCTCGTAACACCCATGTCTAGTCCTAAACGCAGTCTTATACTGATCATCAAGGTGGACTTCAATCTGATGGTACCTTGACTTTAAGTTTATTTTTGTAAAGTACTTGTAGCCTTGCACCCGATCAAGCAGATCATCTATTTAGGGCAATGGTTCTGCATTCTTGACTGTAACAACGTTCAAACCTTTGTAGTCAATGCACATTCTTAACAATCCCTCCTTCTTGAAGGCAAATAGAACACGTGCTCCCTTCTCGAGGAGCTCGTCTAACTGCTTGCGCAACTCTTTAGGAGACATTCTATAGACTTGCTTCTTTGGGAGTTTTACTGCCAGGCTCTATCTCAATGCGGTGCTGGATTGGACGCGGGACTATTCCTGAAGGCGACTTTGACAAATCTGCGTATTCTTCCAGCAACATGGCAATGATGGGGTTGGTTGCTTCGTCTTTCTTAGGCTCGGTAACTGGCCTAACATAGGCTACAAAAACCTGATCTTGTAGCTGTTTCTTTTTAACTAATCGCGCGAATGCAGGAACACTAAGACAACAATGTGCTAGGGAGCTATCTACTCCTAACACATTGGACAGGTGGGCCTTCTTGACGTCACCTGAAGGACTAGGTAGCCTACACCCGTGCTCTCACAAGTGCAGTGTGGCTCCTGCTGCCTCTCCCCAATCCATTCCTAACACCATATCAAACAGGAGATCATCTTCAACGAGTAGAGTCAGGGAATGGAGAACTCTCTCTACCTTCCCATCTGCCTCTAGGCAAAAATATGCTTGGACTCCCTCGACATAATCCTTGATCCGCATTGTGCGGTTGTCAGCGAGGATACTGACTACATGTTCTTCTAACTTTTGGACTTTTAGGCCAAGCTTGAACTTCTTCAGCGCTTTGCGGCTAATATAGCTACGTGTCGCCCCATTGTCTATAAGGGCCCCTACTCTAACTCTAAAAACTTCGACATCTGCTATCACTAGTTGTCCTTTACCTTCTTTCTTCATTTTGGCCTAGGCCGACATTCTCTCCTTCAGTTCTTTTGCTCGGCCTGTGAGGGAAGCGCCTAGAGAGACTCTAACACAAGCAGTATCTGGACATATGACTAGACGCTGGCCAGCAACCTTTGCCATAGACTATGTTGTTACGGACTCAGCCAGGGCTCGATCCTTGCTTCGCGGGATACCACCCACCAGCCTGCTTTTTTTTTTTTTTTTTTTTTTTGATTTCGTGCTCTTCGTTTTCTGACAGTTGGCGCCCTCTGCAGTTGGCGCCTGTTTCCAAATCCCTGCTTTGGCACTCTCGGATTTCGACACTTTGTGCCATCCGACATTCTGGCGCCCAGACTCGGACTTTCGATTTTCAGTTCAGTCCTGAGGCAATGGCACTTCTGCCCTCCGGACTGAACTTGAGTCCGGTACTTAAGACCGGACTCAAGCCCAATACGGGCATTCAATTTTCAGCCTCAGTGCTTGTGCTTCAGTGTGACTTGCTTCGACATTGTGTTTGGGAATCGAAGACTGCGACTTTGCGACTTCGCCACTTCGTGTATGTGTCCGTCGAGTCTTGTCGAGTCTGGGTCGAGTTGAGTGAGTGTGTGTGTGCTCTCACCCTCTCCTCTCTCTCCCTCAGCCTCACTACTCTGCCTCCGCCTTTGCCTCGTCACACTGGTATCGAAGAGGTTCGAACCCGCCCGACCCACCCTTCTTCGTTGTCACCACTTGGCCATCATCATCATCATCGTTGTGATCATCGGCGTCATGCCATGTCATCATCGTCATCGCTGCGATCGTTGTCGTCATGCCACGTCATCATCGTCATTGTCGCGATTGTGGTCGTGCCACGTCACCATCGTCGTGCCCGTCGTCCTCGTCGCCACGCCGTGCGATCCTCGTGATCGTCGTTGCTACCTCCGGGCAAATAAGTAATCGACGACAGTTTTTTTTTTTTTTTCCCTTTTCTTCTTCCTCTTCTTCTTCTTCTTCTTCTTCTTCTTCTTCTTTCTCTTCGTTCTTTTCTTCTTCTTATCTTCTTCTTCTTCTTATCTTCTTCTTCTTTTTCTTCTTCTTTTCTTCTTCTTCTTCTTCTTCTTCTTCTTCTTCTTCTTCTTCTTCTTCTTCTTCTTCTTCTGTCGTC